CCCTCCACACAGTTGCCATGTAATTATGAGAAGCTCATCCTCCATTTCGGCAAGCTACATTCCCACCCTACCCTCTCTTCTGTGCAAATGTGGGCAACAATAAGTAACAGAAGAGTTCCTCTGTAGGCATCTTCTTCTTCTAGATGTTACAAAACAGCTTTTGGTGATGAGTCCCTGCCACCCCATATGGTACCCACTCACACCGTGAATGGAAGACACATGAAGTACACATGCTCTCCTGCAGTGCACACCCGCAAACTTTGCTGGTCCCCTTGCACAGCACAGGATGATGTATCATTCATCTAAGATGGCATCTCTACAAAAGGGCCGCAAGACATGAGAACACAGCAAAACACAAAACTTTATGTGCCAGAGAAAGGCAACAAAGCTGGTGAGGAGTCTAGAGAACAAGTCTTACAAGGAGCAGCTGAGGGAGCTGGGGTTGTTCAGCCTGAAGAAAAGGAGGCTGAGGAGAGACCTTATCGGTCTCTACAACTACCTGAAAGGAGGTTGTAGCAAAGTGGGGGTCAGTCTCTTTTCCCAAGTAACAGGTGACAGGACAAGAGGAAACGGCCTCAAGTTGCGCCAGGAGAGGTTTAAATTGGGTATCAGGAAAAATTTCTTCACTGGAAGTGTTATCAAGCATTGGAACAGGCTGCCCAGGGAAGTGGTTGAGTCATCATCTCTGAAGGTATTTAAAGAACATGGAGATGTGGTGCTGAGGGACATGGTTTAGTGGTAACTTGGCAGTACAAGTTTAACGGTTGGACTTGCAGATCTTAAAGGTCCCTTCCAACCAAAAGGATTCTATAATTCTCAACCTCTGACGAGAAAAGGGGTGCCTAGGGGAGTTTCTGAAGGACAGTATCCAGAAGGGTGGATTCCCACCCAGAACAATGTCCCTTCTTCCTTGTGCTCTCTGGCATCCATCTTTTGAGTGGTCTGAAACAATATTTTGAAACACACAGGAACATGGCATGATTTCAAATCCAGGTACAAATATTAAATACTCCTCATGGTTTCCACAAGATAGTTTGCACCAAAACTTGAGCAACTTATTAACTTTGTCCATTTGCACAGTTTATTGTCAGACCTTGCACCTTGAACTATATCAGAGCTGATCAAGAATAGCAATGGGCATTTTGCCTTTAAGATGAAACAACACCCTAAAGTCTGTACTTTGGTACCAAGGGTTTCTAAAACCTGCCCCATCTTGGCCCCCAGGTTCATCGCATCATTACATTTAGTCTTCGCTGGAGCAACAGAAGCTCTAAGGACAACGCTGAGGATATCTTTTCTTTAGGACTATTACTAGGTGTTTAATGAGGCAAATGTGTGATCCTATAATGTGCAATAGAGACATTTGACGAATTGCAACAAAGCTGAAAGCCATAATGTAGATGGTATTACATTAGAAACCTCACCTGTGTTGCATATACACCAACCCTGGCTCTCTGAGGCTAAGCTGTCACGTAAGCACTCAAGCGATAAATAGGAAAGTTTACTCTATATCCCTCAAAGGCCCCCATTTAAAAAAAGTACATTTAAAATATGCTCTGTACAGCTGTTGTCTTACCATTTGCCTTGTGCTGCACATCTGGCGGAAACTGGTCAGGAACATACCACTGATAGTCTGGCTGCACAGAACAATAAAACATTATTACAGCAATATGGACTTCATAGACACTTCAAACAAAAGAATAGCGACATGATAAAAATATAATTGTGCTGTGAAGTTTTTTATTAGTCATAGAAAAGTAGTTTGCAAAAAAATCTTATATTTAGCTTTATATTTCCACTGATCGAGTCTTTCAGCTTGCTTCCTTTTTTATGACATGTGGTTTAGATGCTGCACTCATTAGAAATATTGGTGTAAACCTTTCTAGATCCCATAAATCAAAAGAAGCATTAACAGAAACAAATCAGATTTTAAAAGGGCTAAGGAATAAAATGCACCAGAAGATACTAGCAGGCATCACATTCTCTGTACTAAAGAACCCAAGAGAAACCTGGTACACATCAACCTGACAGGTGAAGCTGTTCCAGTGTGAATACGTGTAACACGCATAATATGTCTCAGTGTGGTAGGAATAACCCACTTAATATGGTGCTCTCCCCTCCTCCCTTCCCCATAGGCTACCATTAGTGTTACTATAACATTAGCTGTTACCAAATAACTTCTTGAAAATACTGTGGGATGGGAAAAATTCCAATCTTTCTTATAAGAGGAAGTATTGGGAAGGTTATGTCCACGCAGATATAGTTTTGTCCAGGGAAATCCTGGAATAAAGAAATACTGCCTTATAGTTTATACCACAGACCACGGTAAATGAGTAGCAAATTACCACTAGAGAAAACAATTTTGGAACCAGACGTTTCAGCTGAAGCTGTATTAAGCTGTCTACCTGGTTTAAGTAATACATGCAAGATTGTCAAATTCCAGGTAATTCCTGTGTCAAATTAGTTAAACTGGGAAAATAATTCTTGTTTTGCAGAAATTACTCTGACAAAATCCTGAGTAGTCCCAAGGAGACTCTTACAGATTTCAACTTGTAGGGAAGAAATTTCATAGACTTCTAAATAAGTTTTGCCTAAATTAAGATGGCAGGATGAAGCTGTAGATACAGAAAACAGATTTAACTTTTATGTATGCTGTCATTTGTAGTTACATAGCAGTAATCACGCTCATACGCTGCCAGGAAAAAGGAGCTATCCTATTTTCACTTAAATTATACCATCCACAGGAATTATTAACTAATTCAGTGGTTGTAGGCAAACAAAATAGGCTTTGAAACGAAGCAAGACTCTGCTTTGCTTTAAGCACAGAGTAGTTTTTCCACCGATGGCTCAAAATACAGTTATTCGCATTGCTTTTTTGAGTTTCTGTTGAATTTTCTGTTCTCTGATCTCGTTTTCTCTTTCATACGCACTTACACTATGCAAACTTGAACGAATTTCAGAAACAAGAGGTGTATTTCATGTCAGACTAAACAAAATATTTCTACTAACAATGTAAAAAGGAATGAAAAGGTGCTAGATATAAAAAGAATGAAAAAACACAGACTAAACACACAGGATTACATCCGTTAACTCAGGACACTCATTAAATTCTAACACCTTTCTTCATTGCTAACAAATTGCTCAGGGAGGTATCAAAAGCTCAGAGCAGCAACACTGCACTCACACAGACAAAGAATTTCAAAGAAAACTCAGAATGAAACTGGGAGTTACAAAGCAACCAGTCAAACTGACCCCGGCGCTCCGGCAGGAATGGCAAAGTTGTAAACCCAGTGATCCCTCACAGAATTAGAAACCCAGATGATGAAAGTTCAGGGAGAAGAGCCAAAATAATCTGGGACAGTGTCCAAATTGCAGTGAAAAACATTCTGCAATACTTCCAACTCTGATAAATAGGCAGATAAGCGCACTCCTGAAGCATAGAAATTACTTGTTTGACCACAGCCTTTCCGTTGGATTTCTGCAGTCTGAAAGCCTTATATGCATTTTGCAAAAATTCAGCTATAATTTCTCAAATAATGAGCATCTTTCCATATGTGACAGCTTTATAGCTAGAAACAGATATTATGTATTTAAAATGACATTCACCACGTTAAATGCATTCTCACTAGATCTGAACAAGCACAGCCCACTTAGATAACCCAAAGCAATTAAAAAATATCAGTATTTTCCTTGAAATAGATGACTGCCCCTTACATAACCTGCCCTAGTGCAAAGTTATGCTTCTTGGTGCTGAGAAAGACAGGACCCTGTTGTGTGCCAGGAAAAAAAGGAAAATTTCCCATTGTGTTAGCGACACTCTAACTTCCACTTCTGTTAATTTATATTTTTTTTTGGCAATACACAGGCTTGCTTAGCAAAATTGTATTCCTACAGCATTCACAGCCAGAGTGTCTCACCCTCAGTAGAGCCTTATTCCTCCTGTAATCCTGTTTCACAGCAGCGTACCAGAGGGAAGATACAACCGGGTACAAGTAACAGCATCTGGGATTTCACCCGTACAGTTCAATAGCAGCGCTGTGAATCCTGCCAATAGCTTGTCTGCCTGCCCCAGAAGGCGTAGAGGGAACCTGGGGCTGTGCAGCCTGGCTACAGCTGTATTGCCTGACAGCAGGACAGTTATATTACATACGAATACAGAAGCCGTAAATGAAGAAGAAGGAAAGTCATTTTTCCAAAGACAGGGAGAGAGAAAGAAATACCCAGTGTAAGATATGCAAATAAAACATATTAGTCAACAAGCTTTCTTAGACCGATACAGGGAAGAGACGAGAATACTGCTGACCAAAGCTACGTTCTCATTTTTGTCACTATTATTCATGTCGAAGGCCCAGAACTTGGGTCCAGAGTGCAGATCCGTATTTATGAATTTGGGTAACTATATAGCTAGACAGGGCTCTGAATATGTTCCGTGGAAGTAAATTAATCTAAGAAATTAGCAAGAGTCCAATCAAGCAACCTTATTTTTTAATTAAAGAATGACCATCAGTATCACTGAAAACAAATGTATAATAATCCCCTTTTTCTTCTCAGTGGTATTAGAGATAAATAGGATTTGCCAAATTAAATTTAAAATATATAAGAATACATACTTAAAGCATAACTCATCAACCATATATTTAAATTGCTGCAAATTTTCCTCTTTGTGCACAGATTTCTGTTGGTTATGCTTTGATCTGCACATAGCAGCACTCTGTGCAATTGAGTACCAAAGACACTGGAACAGAAAGGAAGAAAAGAACATGACTATCAAGAGAAAAATCAGTATTTTGAGGCAGATAGTAAGTGAAGAGAGACTGCACAGAGATCAGGAAAGCTGTTCCAGACCTAGGGCTAATTCTGAAATCAGTGCAAAATCTTGATCTGGAACCGAAAACAAACTGAGAAACAACAGATTTAGTTACTGGTAGGGATGGCACTGTGACAGCACCATGTTATTTTCCTGCGGTCACCATGCTGTGAGAAAAACCAGTGCCCTTGTGAAACGGGAGACGGTGGGAACCTTACTGAGTGCTGTTGCTGCTCATGTGCCCTGCGAGATGCTGGAGGTACTCGAGGATCTTGATAGTGAAGAACCAATCCACAACTCCCATAATTAACACATGGTGAGAGGAAGAGGGGAGGTGGGTAGCTGGGCCTCTCAGACTGTACCGGGAGGTCTTTTGTCTGTCAAAAAATAAGAAAAGCAAGAAGAAATTAATTAGTAGCAGGACACAATGACCAACAGAATATTCACGTTCAAATTCACCAGTAAAAAGCAATGGGGAAGAAACCCTTCTGTCTCAGCATGGGTCGCAATGCTGCTCGTTTAGACCCCTCAGATGGTTCATGATTCAAAAAATTATTTAAGAAAGCTGACTTGTACCACACCAGAGAGTCTTGGTGATTTTTATGTGAGAAAATACTGGTTTCAAGATATGGCAAGCACATTTCTGGGTGTTTTCTGTATTCAAGAAACATTTTCATTACACACAGTAGCTTTCAATAGCTTGAAGCAGAACTACAGGCACTTGCATAACAAGAAAAATAAATAATTTTGGTAAAGGACCAAATTCGATGGCCTCAAGATTTGAGTCTGCCTTTTCTTAGGCTGTTTCTCAGCAGAGTCAACGGGAATTTGCCTAAGGACAGAGCAAGGAGGGGTAAAAGATGAGCCACAACTAAATAATTTGACTTAAGAAAACAAACTAATAAATATTCTATATGGTTTCTCTCATGTTTAAAGTCCTTCACAAGCTCTGTTTAATCAAATCCCAAGGCAGAAAGAGACAAACAAGATGATCTCTAGTGTAAACTGTTGATGCAATGCAGGAACAGTCAAGTTGTACATACACAGCACTCGTACAGCCCTTTGGGTACGTTGTACCCGGGCAGGTTGGTTGGCATTTCTCCTGGTCCGCAGTGGCTGGGGAGGAGTGGCAAAGGCCTTTTAGCCCCATTTTTAGTCCCCCTCTTCACTGTCACTGCTGTGAGAGGTTCTCAAAGAAACCATTGACTGGCTGGGGTTGTGCAAGAAATTTTGTCTTTTACAGTCTCTAGCCAATGCCAAAATATATAGGAAGAAGGTGTCCGAGTACTGTGTCTCCTACAAAAAAATTTCTTTACCTTATTAAACAACACAGGAGTGGGCTGGTGGGTGGGGGAAATACACCTGAAGGTTATTGCATGCAATGCTAACGGATTTGTCCAAGGTATGTCTCTATGCCCGGGATGCCCTGAGTGGCAAATCACGGCATTCCCTCTGGCACTGCTATTTTTATGCTTGCGTGAAATGCTTCCAAGTACCACTGACTAATCTGGGGCCTCACTGCAGCAGCACCCAGCATCGGCCAGGATGCCCAACCTGCTCCCCACTCCCGCTGAAGCCGATGGGAGTGAGGGGCACTTCACAGCATCTTGCCTCTGATACTATTGTAAGACTCTACTAGTAGCGATGCATGGCTTGGCTGAGAATAAGCCAATGCCGAAGTTTCTGTTTCACAACAATGTTGGGGAGGACAATAAATCATCACAGAACATTTTGGTAATCTGCCATTCTTTTAAAACATTGCACAATTTTGTCAAGACAGGAAACCTCGAAATTTCATCATTTTTAAAGGGGATTGAGAAAGCTCAGAGTTTTGCATGCCATGATTTTACTATGGCTTCCTGAATGTCTGCGAACAGATTACTGACACTACTCTGAAGAGATAAAAGGATTTTGCAATAAAAAATTACTGCAGCGGCTGCTCAGCTAATTTGGATGGAGACAATTTTTTTTCCTCAGTGATACTAACATTATTCTGTAATTCTACTGCAGAGGTCAGGATTCATTACAGAAGCTTTTATTTCAAAAGTTGGTTTGATGTTACAACTCTTATATCAAGTGCCAGTGAAACAATCAAAAGTCCTCTGGATTTGTTTTTGGTTCCCCCCCCTCCATTTTAAGATATGTTTGAAGAGTTCTTGCAATAAATACTCCCTTCATCTCCTTAATTTGGAAGCAATCTCTAATCATTTCTCATATTCTTACTGCATTACTTCAGAATGATTTCATCCCAGGTGGTGACCTCATATAAAATCTAATGTCAATTAATGGAAGCCAGAAAGCCTTGGGTTGTGTGGAAAGTGAGAAAATAAAAATAAAATACACATGTGCTGGCAATGGTAACTTTCATTTAACTCATACCTGAGAGTTTAGTTTATTCAGTTGAGACTGCAATCTCTCGTTAATTTTCTGCAATGCTTCTTTCTCCTCATTAAGTCTTTCTCTGTCAGACCTCTCCTTTCTGAAGTCTTCTTCATATATTTGTACCTGCAATCATTATGACCAAGTATGTGAATTTCAGCAGAGCTACAATGGAAGTTTTCCTACACTTTGCTGTTTGGTTGCTTTTTAATCACTGACCAAGCAGCGGGGTACATTCCAAAAGGAGCCCTCCTCTTTACAATCCTGCAACAAAAAGTTTCCCTTGTCTTTTTTACGACCAAAGTGACAAGCAGTGGCTATTCTCCAATAGCACCCATTAATCAAAGTCCACAGCTTCAGAATTCATAGACCCTTGTAATTTAAAAGGCTGACTGGTGGATATCAGTTTTAAATATGATAAATAAGATAGCAAATACTAAAGTCATCGATCTCTTGAAGGAATAAACAGTAGTATGACAAACATTTTACCAACATTTTTTCCAGTTTTCAATTATGAGCACTTTTAACTACCCCCTGTATCTCAGATGCAAACAGTCTGCATCCTGGTGGAGACGGGAGGTGCTGGCACAGCAAAACCCCCCCCCCCCCCCGACTTCTAGCATGCAGTCTGACAGAATATTATCACCTTATCCAACCTAACAATGAGCTACTATCATCGAGTAACATCCTGTCTTTTTATAGCCCACTGAATATCATTGACCTTGAGCCTGCTTTGCTTTATGCCTTTCCGTAGTTGTCTGCAGCTTGACCTTACCCACTGCCCTAGCTGTCTAACCAAGGTGTGGCCCAAAGGACTAACACGTGTAGAATAACTGATAGTATTTAGAGCCATGGTCACACATTAGTGACCAGAAGACTTGGACTAGTCAGGGCTGTCAAGGAATTTAGACCTCCTTGGCTGGAGCACTGTGGAAAACAAAACCTGCAGGAGGCTATCATGCTCCAGATGTTAGAAACTGGATGTGGAAAAAATAATTGGCCCGTGTACCTTTTATCGGCAATATAGGACTTCTAATTCATCCTTTCAAACTGCAGCCCAAAGAACCTACCCGCCCCAGAGTATAAGCAGAGGGGAATGTTACATATACAATTCAAAATGGAAATTCAGAGGTTTGACCCTGTTCCTAGAAGATAAGTTGTCTTTCAAATACTGAAGGATGCAACGGCTTAGCTCTTTTTAGGTCACTAGGAATCATAGCGCTTCATCCCATTAAAAAATATCTGACCACCCCAGGCACAGGCAGCGAGCGCATGGATTGAGAAGCAAAACACAAATCCATAAATTAATCGGTGTTAAGCTGACCGGCTTAATTCTTCAGCTAACAGGCAGGCATCCACTCGGTAAGAAGCTGGAGGTTGGTGTCACTTCTACTGACAAATAACAGCAAAAGCACGTTAGGGTGGGAACCACCACCAGGACTTTCAGAAGTCCTTTCATGCCCTCTTCGTTGGTCACTAAAACCCGCTGACAGTCTGTTTCTAAAGAACTTGCTTGCTATGGTTCATGCCCTGCCCATCGTAGAGATCCAGCTTTCTTTTTGCTGGCAGCAGCACTATGACTTCACAGGAGGACTAAAGAAATGTTAATACCTCAGGGGAAGAAAAAAGTCAACACAGGGCTCTATAAATTATTTTCACGACTTGCCTGTTGCAGCTAATTTTTGCACGGCTTTTTTTCAGACCCCACAGTCCCCCCACTAGATATAACCCCCTTCCTGAATAACACTGTGTAAAAGGAACAAAGGCTTTCTGTGTGGCCACATGGGGACTCAGCTCCACAGCCTGTGCCTGGGGGACAGACGCCTGCCCCTGCCCCTCCGAAGCAGAGGCAAAGCTGTCACTTGCAGAAATCTAGGTCTCTTGTTTCCCTGTCCATCTATACGCTTCTCTCCTCAGTATTTGCTCATTTCTCCTTTCCCAACTCCCTCCCTCCCGCTCCCCAGCTGTACGATCTGCTGAAGCTGCAAAGGAATCACGTTGCCCTGAGAAAGAGGGGGACACCTTTCAAGGAACAAATGCCTTCATCTCTTCTGTAGTGGCCAGGGATGGGCTGATGACAGCCAAGTTCTGGTGAGACTCTGTCACGTCGCTGTTTGTCCCAATAGTCCCTCCTCCGTACAGTTAGAGCCTTCTGCTCCATTTCGTGCAGAGGGAAGTCTGGACTCACTGTACTGATTTATACAACCAGAAAAAGACATTCATAAAATGGATACCCCATGAGAATTCTGGAAAAAATTGGTTTACTCTATTTTATTGTGTAGAATGAAATAAGTCATTACTGTACAATCAAGTGCTGGATTTTATTCTCCAGCATGTGGCAAGCATTACATTAGAGAGCAAAATCTGGCTCTACTGTCAAACGTGACAGAAACAAGTATTTTATTCCCATTGAATAAAATTCCCGTTCTGATCACATCCATTTGTGTGTCAATAACATTAACCCTAACGCTGTCCAGGATGACAGACCTAAAATGTAAAATTATCTGAAAAGTATCGTGTTTTTAAACAGACTCTTTCATATGGAAAGAAGAAGAGCGCACAAAGTACTTGAATTGCTTAGGACAAAGATATAAAAAAATTAATACACTTCTCTACAGCGATTGGTATGCAGGTTACAGATGCAAATGTTTTGCCTCACACTTTGAAAAACTGCAATGCCAATGGTCTAGTTTTCCAAGACTATTATTGTCAGATAATTCACTAAACTTACAACTTCTAAGAAAAAAGGAGCAGAAGACACAAGCAACAGATTAATCAGTAACTCACAAAGTTTAGCGTTTCCTCTAGATGAAATTCAGCCCCCAGCAGAGAGCTGGCAGGACGTCTCCAAGAGTTAGGAGAGCCATTCTGCTGCTTCAAGTCCTACATAAGTCCTTCCTCCAGGTCTTTGCAAGGACTCAGTTTCACTTCGTGGACGCTGCTGTGATGGCAGCATCTTAGGAAATACCATTTGAATGGGCTATGGCTAAACTGGTTCTTCCTTTCAGAAGTTCTACATAGTGAGGGTACTGGGCACAATTCTTGGGACAGAGGGCAAAATTATGCTTTATGAAATCCATCCAGGCCTACTTCCCACTCCGCTCACCTGCTGTCTGAGAACTTCAAGTTGGGTTCTCATGTCCTCATGGCTGCTCCTGTCACCCTTCTCTGAAGAAGTCCCAAGAACAGGCGAGTGCTGCTTTTTCAACACTTCCAGAAGGGCCTGCAGTGTCAAACAGCAAAATTACTACACAGAGATTCACTACATCAAAAAAAACCAAACCAACCCCAACAAAACCCAAACCTCTTAAATTATTAGAACGTTTTCTCTCTAAATAAACAGATTAGAGTGAGTCACAGACTTGTGGGGGATTTCCCTTCGCTTGCAAATGCTTCAATTACATACACTGGATATAAACCCTGAAAATAACATATATGCATGACTAAGTCCAAATTTTCCAAATGGCCATGCTACGTTCATGAATTTGAGGCCGTTTAATTTAGGGGACTGTGCTTTTACTTATAACTATAACCAACATTTACCTATGGAAATCACAGCTGCAAATCCCATTCATAAACACCATTTCCCTGTGCAAGCCAGAATTTGGGAAAACAAAGACAGGTGTCTAAACTCATCTGAGGCCAAAACCAACCAAACAAAAAGTGCAAGGACATAAATGAAATATTCAAAGATCACCTAAAAATGTGACTTCAGTAAAGTCTGACTGCAACATTTTTTTGCACTAAGAGTACAATTTTTTTCAATTGGAGAAGTAAACCCTCTGGTTGAGAGGATGTAGTCTCTATAGCTTGTCACTAGAGGGAGTTCTGAACACACACACACTACACTGGTAACGCTCCATTTTTCAGTCAAACTCTGCCACGGTTCTTTGCAGATTTTGTTTATTTTTAACAGTATTATACAGCTCTCCCTTGGATTGGAATAATTTTTAAATCGCTCTTACCCCTCTCTGTCTATAACCACACACTACACTTCTATATAGATTTTTTTTACTCTAGCACAAATACTCACCATTCAGCACTTTTCAATGTCTCTCACATAAGAGGTGGACTCGGCTAACTTAATCCATTTTAGAAAGTTCAATTCCTGCTAATGATCCCCAGCTCCCCCTTGCTGGCCACACTCCATTCATGCCATATGGGAAGGAGGGAAGATAATTTGGAGTGGGAACAGACAGAGGGGAAAGTGGCCAAGCAGGAGAACCAGTATCTAAAGTAAGCCAAGGATTAGTTATTAATTATCAAAAGGCCGACAAAAAAAAAAAAAAATTTAAAAAATGTAGCACTTTCCATGGAGAGCAAAGAAGAGAAAAGGGAGGCTTTTTATATGACAAGCTACTGTCCCTAAGAATTGTGCAGAACAGAAGTTAGTATAATAGTGGCAAAGCTTGTCTGCCATGTCAATAAATTACATTGAACATAAACATGGGAGATACAGATAGTTTACTGATTAATCCTGCTTTTGCCCCTTTGAGCCACTGCTAATTCCTTTTAGGCTATGACATTGCAGTGCTCTGCACAAATAGTAATACAAATAGCAGAGCCAAGTTTCACATCGGTGTTGAGATTGGGCATGGATCACCAGCAGCAGTGGCATCAGTGAAGTTTGACAATATCACAGTATGTACGTTACATTCCCTGGCTGACTGCAGCCCAGATCCTCTCCCAGGCGTATGGTCTGTTAAGCTTACTGCTGAGGACGAAGACAAATAGCACGTGTTTTTCTTCTTCCCCCTGCCTATGCGGGATACATCTTGATCTTGCTGACAACTACAGAATCACGAGATTCATTTGGGTGGCAGGGAACCTGCTCAGAGCTGGGAAAGGGAGGTCAGGTTGCTCAGGACCCATCAACTGAGCACCTCCAAGGAGGGGGATTTCATGGCCTCTCCAGGCAACCTCTTCTAATATTTCACCACCTTCAAAACAAAGTGCTTCGGATGACCTAATTCAAAGATAACCAAGTGTCCTGCTTCCTTCACAACACACCATCTTCCCAGTCATCTCCTGCATCCACTTTTTATATGGCTCTGTCTTCTCTTAAAACTCCTTCACTAGGATGTATCTTACTGAACATAGGCGTCCTGATGTTACCCAAACGGTAACGCACCTTTACAACTGAAGTATGTATATTCATAAGCTGTTGACAGTTCTCCTAATTTGTGAACAAATGTCACTTGCGGCTCGTTTCCTAGAATCACATCATGATATAGACATACTAGGTATTTGGGCAATTGTTCAGGGTTTTTTTGTTGATTGGGGGTTTTTTTGAGGATGCTCTACATCTCAGAATTATGGAGGAAAAAAAATAGAAAAATCCAGAAATTTCTATCTTCAAAAGTTTAACAGTAGAGAAAAATAAGGAGAGGATTTTTTTTTTAAACTGCATTTGGAAGCAATGCTGTGAGACCCCATGTCATCATTTAAAACAAAATAAGAAACTGCAGCATGAAGAAAGCTGAATTGGTTTAGGGTCATACTAAACCCAGATCAAAATTTTTGAGAAAAGATTGTAAGAGACATTCTGAAAAGTGCTAGGTATGGGGGTCGTAAAATTTTGTACTGTTGCTATTAGATCAACAGCAAATTACTGAGAATTACGTCATTATAGGAGATTTGGGTTCCCAAGTATAAAATGGAGACTAAACAGTACTACAGCTAATCCTTAAAGATATAACTGCAATATTTGTCTTCCAATTTTCCCATCACTCTGAACTGACAAAAGGTGGGGCTGGTTTAGAGTCATTTATGGAAGAAATGAAGATATTACTGTTCCACTGGTTTTAAAAAACAACTGTGAATAAAATGATCATGAGACACTTGAAATTAAAAATAAATAAGCTATTTGCAATACATAACTAAGATTTGTAATTTCAAATTAGCAAACCAGAGAAATGATTGGTAACTTCTAGCTACCTTCTATAATTGGTCCTGTATACAATTTTTTCATATTGTTTGGCTATTCCTACTTCATTAAAAGTCAAAGTACAAAAAACCCCAACCAAACAGCCCGTTCCCCTACCCCTCAGAAAACCGTATCTCAACGAAGCTGAAAAAAATTTAAAGGAAAACGCTTGAGGGACAGCTAGATGAATAATTTCAAGAAGAAAAATTAAAATGCCTTTAGGGCCTGCAAAAAGGATTTAATCCCAACAAAAGCTACCGCTTTTGGTAGCTTTTACGCAAAAGTGCAGGGTAAGAGACACAGTCATACTGAGCTGTATGTTGCCAAAGAAATTCAACTATAAAATATCTACACATACATTTTTTTTCATGCAAGAAGGAAGGCGTTACACAGGAAAGCAAGACTAAAGACAGTATTTCCAGTATGAAGGATAATGTAGAGCACTGCGGCGGTGGCAGGACGGCTAACAGCAAGGAAGATGTACCAATGATAAAGAACTCGCAGCTCACCGAGTTAAACTGAACTGAACTTAATGTGGTGTTAAATAACATTCATTCAGAAGTACTGAGAACTGAAACCTGAAAATGCAAGACAAGCAGCACAGAGGTTTTCTGAATTTTTCAACATCAAAAATGGAACTGTATGACTGAAAAACAACTACCTTGGTTTCCAAAGCTGTGAAAAGGATAAGTGGCCCATGCACCTAGAAATCTCTTAATCTAATCTCAAAAGTGTGCTAGGCTTGGGAGGAAATTTTGAAGATAATTGCCTTATAGACATGAGAAATGGGATTAAGTAAAGCACAGACTTTCTTATCAGGGGAAATACATCAGATCTTATTAGTCTATGTTTAAGAAACAATCGAGATGGCGCTGCAGCAAAGTTATGAAATAAGTCAGAAATCTGGCTTGTTCAGGAAAACCAGTAATCTTGGGATATAGCGTTGCAAACTCTTATGGCATTGCAATGTCACTTTCACGCTGCAGACATGAAAGTAGGATCAGACCGGACTCTATACTTTGGGTACTCTTGATGACCAGATCAAAGTCGGATGAAGCCAAAAGTACTTAAAAGTAAAAAGGTTAATTAACTTAGAAACAAGTAGTATTACTTTCCATAATCTGAGAACTAAGCAGTTTAAAATTACAGATATAAAAAAACCCATGCATATCAGCATGCATAGCTGCATTTTAAGAGACCAAAAGAGCTGGGTCATCTTAGCTAAA